TGCTTCTTCTTTCAGGTATTGACTTTAAAATTAGGACGATAGAGCTCGATGGCAAGAGAATCAAACTGCAGATCTGGTAAGGCTTCTGTGCTGCGCGGAGTGTGCGATAGCTGCGGCTGTGTGGTGGGTGTGGGGATGTTTTGTGTTAGGTTTTGATTCCAGTTGTGCTGTTCAGTAGTTTGTGTTATCTTAGAACTAAAAGATAGTCCTGGTGGTTTTGTCACCAAAACTACGGGGAAAACAAAAACTCTCCAACAACACTTTTAATGTTAGAGAGTCAAGGCACTGCAAAGAACCTTTAACACCCTTCCCCCGGGGCAAAGGCCAACAAAATCTTTGACTAAAGTTCCATAAAAAATTTTAAACTGGTCTATTTTCCAACAGTCTGAAGACTGGTCCAMATTTATTTCAAGCTTTTGGTGGTGTTAACTCGAGCTAAGAGCAGTGGTTTGAGTGAGCCCCGTGTTGTGTGTGTTGCAGGGACACGGCCGGGCAGGAGCGATTCCGGACCATCACAACMGCCTACTACAGAGGAGCCATGGTAGGAGCAGAGTGGTGATTCTGGGATGGGGGTGACAATAAACCCAGCTGGGTGTGACACTGGACACTCACAASTGACCCTGTCCCAGCGTGGAGCTCTGCCAGGCTGGACACACAGCTCTGCTGGTGCTGCTGGAGCTGTGCTGGGGTGATACGGGACTTTGGAAAGTAATTTTGGAAACTAATTTGGAAAATTATTACTCTATAAATACATGTCCCACACACCTTACCTCACTGCCATTAGCTGGGAAGCATTTTTTAAAAATAATCAGCTCCTGTCTGCTATGGACAAACGTTTAACTGCTGCTGAAACAATATTTYCTCTTTCTTCACCTTCAGGGCATTATGTTGGTGTACGACATCACCAATGAAAAATCTTTTGAAAATATTCGGAACTGGGTGAGGAATATTGAAGAGGTAATTTCTCTCTTTGTTTATTACTGTCTATTAAAGTTGCCATTTCTTCCTGTAAAAGGAATTGAAGTTTAACTGCTTCAGAAGAGTTACATTTCTTCATGTGCTGAAGGAGGATAAATGGGATGGAAATGAGTGATAACTTCTGCAATTCCTTGATTTGTTGTGTAGCCCCTGTACTTTTGAGGGCGCCTCACGTGATGTTTCCTGCCACAAAAATGAATCCAAGAATTGCTGTGGGATGAGGGGTTGGGGGAGCCTGGAAATCCCCCAAGATCTGGAAGATGTTCAGGGCTCTGTTGGGTACTCAGTGGGTGCCTCATCTGTCTAACAACGTTTATCTACAAAAACCAAGCCCAAGTCTCTGCTCTGTGTTTCAGCACGCCTCTCCAGATGTTGAAAAAATGATCCTGGGGAATAAATGTGATGCAAATGACAAAAGACAAGTCTCCAGAGAGCAAGGGGAGAAGGTGAGTGCCGTGGTTTTGATGTGTTTTGGCTGGGGTTTTCAGAGTCTGAAAACTGATGATTGCATGCTGCTGTGGTTCCAGATAGTGTTCCTGAGTGGAATAATTGAACATTTCCCTGAGCTGTCATGGGGGAATCTCATGGGGAAAAATCCCTTTTTCCCCACAGTGATCAAAAGCTGAACCTGTGGTTAGGATTCTTGTCAATCATCCATCAGATGCGAGGCAGTCAACAGGATTTTTCTAACAGAGTGCTAGAGTTTGACATTAAAAAATGTCTTTTTTGGCTGAGAGCCACTGAGATGAGGTAGATGGGATTGTCTTTTCTGGTGTCTGATGTTATTTAGTGGAGGCAGAGGYTTTTTCTGTGCTGTGGTTGTTCCGAAACTCACAAGATATCTATGCAAGAAGCAAATAAAAGAGAAAGGAGCAAGATAAAATGTGTGCAGAGATAAAACAGCAGAGCAAAGCCAGTGAGAAGAGATGCCAATTGCAGGGAGATTCAGTTCCTCATTTTTGCCAATTGTTCTGTGTGAGTAAATCCCCAAATCCAGTGGCTGTGGCAGGAGGGACAGAGGCTGTGCCCTCTTCCTGCAGTTTTCCCACTAATGTACAATTTGCTTTTGTCCAGCTTGCTGCAAGTTTTGGCATTAAATTCATGGAGACCAGTGCAAAAGCAAATATAAACATAGAGAATGTAAGTACTGCTGCTTTTCTCTTTTATTTATTATCCTGTTTGTGAAAATCCAGATGCCCATCCTGGTGGGGTGCAAACTGCATTTCTGGGTATCACAGATGGTTGTTAAGCACTTTGCTGTTGCACAGACCATGTCTGGCGGTGGTTTTGGGGCTCAGAAAGAAGGTTGTGGAGCTGGAGAAGGAGCATTAAAATCTGGAGCAGAGAGAAAAATATTGAAAGCTTAATATTCTTATATAGTGATTTTGCTTACTGCTATTGCCAAACAGCTTATTGCTAAACAAAAGTGTTAGAAAACATTTTATTTACCCTGTAACACCGAACTGTTTGACTTGTCACAGGCATTTTTCACTCTTGCCAGAGATATCAAAGCAAAAATGGACAAGAAGTTGGTGAGTAATCTTTATTTTATCTGTCCTGCTGASCATTCCTAGGCCTTTCAGCAGAGCCAGACATGCCCCATAATTTATTATTTTTTAATCTCAGCTGRTTTTGAGTTGATTGAAGCTGAGGCATAGACTCGGATAAATGAGGTCAGCCTGTCACTGATTTTAGGAAAGGATTTTGTGTGTCAGGCTTGGTTGGATAGAATGACCAGATGAAGCATGGAGGAAGAACCTGTTAAGTGTAAATAAGTAACTGGATGTTCTTTCCATCTTCAGGAAGGCAACAGCCCACAAGGCAGCAACCAGGGAGTCAAAATCACACAAGACCAGCAAAAGAAAAGCAGCTTTTTCCGATGTGTCCTTCTGTGAGGGACACGGCCTTAACCTGAGCTGGACTGTGCCTGTGCTAAGCGAGGTTTCCTCTGTCCGTGGACTTAGTGCTCCCAACTTGTCACTTGGTGACCACCTGAATAAGAAATGGTTTATTTTGGTAATCATCTGACTCTTCAATTTTTGGAGATGAAACAAGTTTATTTTTGTCAGATTTGCCAGCGGGCATGTGTGTTGTCTGGCAGAGGGAGGAAGCTGCCACATGGCCTGGGATGATTGACTGTGCTGACTGACTTCAACCTTCACTCGTAGCTGGATCCAGTTTAGAAAGGTGAAGTTGTGACCAAAATAAGAAACAGCAATGCCTCTGTTAATAAATTCCAGGTGCATCTCCAGCTACACACAGAGCAGATCCCAGAAATGYAACGAGGTGAGCAGTGCAGGCTGATGCTTCCTCAGGAGCTTTCTGCAGCTCCACCTCTTTGCTACTACAGAGAAACTCCTCTGTCTGCCTGTGTTACTCTAGACAATCCACAAGTACAATTGAAGTTTAAAAAAAAAATTCTCCTCAAAGGAATCTCTATTTTTTTTAAAGAAGAATGTGTGCTGTAAATAGAACGGGTCCTTACCATTGGGAATTGATCCGTGTTAGACTTGACTGTGCTCARTGAAGTACTCCAGACTAAATTCAGAGGTGATGGCTTGCAGTGAGTCCTGTACAGATGATCTGCCATTTGTTCTTGSAGAACTAGGCTCAGGCAGGGACACTCACACAAAATCTGTCCCCTCACAAGGGTGGCTTTAGCACTSTCCAGATTTATCATGCCACAGTAGGTGATTTGAAATCATGCCAGGGAAATGCACTGCACTGCTCCCAGTCRTGTGTTCCCAGCACACTCACTCACATATGCAAATAAACGCAGCACATCAGAACACTTTGTGAAAAGAGACTTTTCTCAGCTGAGACTGGCCTTGCTGCTGGTTTTCCATCACCACAGGCCTCAGGCAGAGCAGCTGCTCCCAGGATGTGTCCCAGGAACAGTCTGGGTGTCCCAGGAGCAGTCTGGGTGTCCCAGGTACAGTCTGGGTGTCCCAGGAGCAGTCTGGGTGTCCCAGGAACAGTCTGGGTGTCCCAGGAGCAGTCTGGGTATCCCAGGAACAGTCTGGGTGCTCATCCCCACAGCCCCAGTCCGTTACATTCCAAGTGTGAAATGCAGGAGCCCAGCACAGCTCCTCGGTGGGTGGCTGCTCACAGGGCTTTGTTTACATTGACAGCTGCACTTAAGGTTAAAATTAAAGTTGATTTTGAAGCTGTTTGCATTTACTCACAGGTTTTGTTTCCTTCAAGTTTGTGGTACTGAGCTCTGGCTTTGGAGCAGCACCAATAAGTGTTGCTGTAGTTAAAGATCTGTTGAATTCACAATTAAAATTTTATAAATCTGCAGCATGCGATTGGGCCCAACAGGAATACTGCCTGTTCTAAAACAAAAAAAATTCACTCTGTAAGTTACTGGTTTTTAAAAATGCTGGTTTATAAAACTTTTAGATTTATTTTATTTTTTAGTAACAAATTACAATGAGCTCTGTCCTGATTAAAGCTTTCCTCTAACCAGAACCTTACRATGGTTTGGTTTTTTTGTTTACTTGTGGCTTTTAGCACAAGGACTTTGATAAACGTGCACTGTAGTGGGGTTTCACACAGATTTGTAGGATAAAACCATGTTAAGCTATGAAGAGGCTTCTAGACATTGAGATTGGACAAGCAGTGTCTCTGTCTCGAGCTGAGGATGTTTTTAAAGAGTTTGTGTTTCAAGAAATGCTTGAGGCACAATGGGGAAGTGATAAGACATGGTGTGAATTTCCTGCATCACTGATCTGTGTAACCATTCRCTTCTGGCTCAGTGATAACTGTGGRTTGTCTCACATCTGTCTTGTCCTTTACACAGCCAGATGTTGGGCCAGATTTATTTTTCAGAGTGACTGGAAAACTGGTGGTTTATCTGACTTGATCCCACAGGTTCTTGCCTGTGGGCTGTACCAATAACTCATCTCAGGATGGGAAATCAAACTGTTCATTTACTGTTCAAGTGGGTAAAACTTGAAGGATGGTTATGGTGATTTTTCACTWTTTTCTAAATCTGAAGCTACTCTTGCATTCAGAATTTTTTGTGTGTGAACACCCTCTGTTTAAACTTAACGCTGTTTTTTGCATATGTTAATATACCTAATTAGAACATTAATTCCTTTGAAATGGTTGGGTTTTACTCTACAAAAAACAACTTTTTTTCCTCAATCTCAGGAAGTTTCATACACTTACTGTGACTCCAGTCATCACTGCACTTCTGGGTGTGAAGATTCTGCGCAGAAATTAAATCTCTGTGAGCAACACGAAACCTAAAATGCAAATGTGAGGGAGGAAAAAGTTGAAGACACTGCCCGTGAGCTTGGCTGTGTGTCACCAAACACAGGCATCAAATTTAGGAGAAGTAAATGTTTCCATCTAGAAATGTCTAGAAAAAATGTTTTCCATCACATCATTTCAGTTGCTGTGTTTATTAAGTGTGAATGTAATGGAAAATGCAATTAGCAGAGAGGTGCTGTGTGAATATGTGCAGTGATCTGCTTGTGTCCAAGCTTTCTTTAAGGAGGAAAAAACCTGAAATTGGGTACAAAAATTGGTACAAAATTGGGTAAAACTGAGGAATTTAAGTAGTTYTGCAAAACTAACCATGCTCACTGCACATTCTGAGTGTCTAAATACCACTAAAATGTCAGATAACCGGTGAACATTTGCTTTGTAGAGAAACAAACCCACTTTTAAGCATGTCCTCAATTCCCTTCTTTCAGTCTCCCAGAGCTCTGTGGTTGACCTTATTTTTGAGGCTGGTTGCAATACTTWGGCTGGACCCTGTCAGTCTGTCAATAATTGGTGGAATTGCTGTTCTGGCACTGATTTAACTCCTCTGTGCCCTGCACWGACAGGCACAGCCCCTGCTCCCTGACTGACATCAGAGCCTTACACCACAGCCGACCTCCAGCCTCACATTTATCAATCCTATGGATTATTGCAAGTCTTTACTGCTGCTGAAAATGTCTTTGGTCTCTCCTTTCGTGTGAGATGCTGATCCTCTCTCCCTGATGATTCTGAGGGGTTTTTGGGCTGGGGTGTTCGGCTGATGATCAAAATCGCTTTTGATTTCTTGTTCTCTTGGATTCACCAGGAAAATACRAAATAAGGATGGGCTCCTTTGGGTTTGTAGAAGTTGTAGGGTTTGGGRAAGAGTGATGACGAGCTTGTGTTTTCATTTTTAGCTTAACTAAAGATGTGTTTAAAGGAACGTGGATGGTAAATGCAGCCTGAGTGTTCCAGGCTGCYGTAATCCCTGTCCCATCCTGCTCCCCGCAGTTTCTGTGCTCACTGGAGTTAACTGGCTGCTTAACTGCTCTCTCCAGCCTTTCTGCAGGAATCATCTGCTCTRCACTGACTGGCAGTTGGGATTTATCACTTTGTTTTGAAGGGAATGTAACACATCCCAGAATTTATAAGAATAACTAAATTGTATTTTTTGAACGATCGCTCCTGCCCGCAGCCCTTCCCACATCACAACCGCTTTCTTAAACACTTCTCATGGATTTTCACGTTTGTATTCAAACAAAATTCTTGTTTCTTACAGTATGTCTGTTTTTACTCTCTTGTACAGGACCCTGAGCACTGCAGAAATAAACTTCTTACGAAAAGAGAATTTTACAAACTGAATTTTGTCAGTCCCATTCATTATTTGTGTGTAGGGAGCCTGGGTGTGGAAAACGGGATTTCTGAAAATGGAGAAGAGGGAGAGGACCTTTTGTTTCTAAACTCTGCTGAATTTTTCATTGTAAATCCTGCACTGTGAGAGAATACTTCAGGAATTGATTCACTGGACCATTTRTTAAGACTATAAATAGAGGATTTATCGATACAATTTTTATTAGCCACAATGGATTTGAAACTTGAGGGATTTTTTCCTGGTTAAGGCATTTTTGGGGTGAATTTTTAGAGGTTAGCAAGTATTTTTACTACCTGGTGGTATCTGAACTTTAAAAAAAAAAATCCCTTCTCTATGTCCAGGCCAGGTTTGCTCCAGCTGAGGGGGGGAACAGACATTTTGCTGAATTACAGGGAAATCTTGACAGAGTGCTTAATGAACTGTTCCTTTTAGAGAGAAATGAAAAGTTCTCTGACTGTTTCAGTTACCATAATTTGTCCTCTTTGCCCCTCTCATCTCAGGTAATCTCAGGTGAAGTAAAAGTTGTTGAAATTTCCAGAAGCAGAGAAACACTCATGTCCCGTGTCTGGCTGGATTCAGATTCGAATATGAAAGGTGCTGTTAAAAAAGAGAAAGTCTTGATCACTTATTTATCACTCCATTCAAAGGATTTACTAAATCAATTCTATTTATTTAAATTTCATTCTAAATAAATAAATTTTAAATATTCTATTTACTCTCTGTTATAAATGGRAAGCTTTATTTTTCAAAAATAAATTCAAATTTCAAATTAATTTGCAAAGGCTGGGTACTTTTTTTTWATTAAATTAAATTAAATGAATGCAAGATTTGGGTGCTGTTTAGTGCAAGATGTGCATCAGAAACCACTTTAAAGCTATGGGAAGCACTGAGTGAGCAAATCTCAATGCAGCCYAAGTGCTAATACCAACTTTTTAATTTACAAGGACTTTCTGCCGTGTAAAAAAGTTCTTTTGGAGGTTCAAAAGCAAGTCAAGAAACCTCCAGGCTTTTTCAAACATCGATTTTTGCAGTGAACAGCTCCACTCAAACTCCAAGGGAAGAGCGGTGATCTGCAGAGGCCGAGGAGATGAAACACACACTTGAGAGGCTTCTGACAAGGAAATTAAGAAAATTCAGTGTTAGGAATRAAAATCAAATATTACCTGAGGAAATCTGGAGCTCGCAGGATCATGTGCTGGAAATCTTCCAAGGACAGTTTGCCATCGTTGTCCACATCAGCCTCATAAATCACCTTGTCACACGCCAGGCTCACTTCCTCTGGGGTCAGCTCGTTCCGCGTTAATTTGTTGACGGTTTTCTCCAGATCTGATTTGCATATGTAATCGTCATTGTTAAAATCTGGCAAAGGAGGGAGGCAAAATTAATAAAAAGCGATGAAATTTGGCATTTTTCACATGGTTATATAAAAAAAACCCAACAAAACCAGTGGGTTTTTTACTGATGTGGAAGGGTTTGGTTTCCAGGCTGTGATGGATTTCTATCAGAACTCTCAAATCAGAAACGAAATTACCTCTGTCTGCTTGCAAAAGAAATCAATTAATGATCTTATTAATAATTAATCTATTTGCAAATAAAAACTTATTAATTTCTCCTGTCATACATAACAATTTTAAGTAGTTTAATGGCCAAACATAGCATAGCCATCATTAAATCATTCCAGCAAGATTGTGTTGGTTTGATTTTTTGCTTGTCTTTAGCTGATCATGATGAAAATAATTGTAAATTGTACCTCAAAAAAAATCTTTACATTTGTCCTTGGAGAAAAAAAAAGCCTGTAGAGGTTTCCCTGCCTCAATTTCCCAAACCCACCCTACAGATTTATGGGCAGCCAAACCCCCTGTGCTGTCCTTTCCCAAGGAACCCCTCAGAAATATTTCTGWAATGTTTATCAGCTCTTGAAAACTGCAGATAATTTCAAACTGTAGGTTTTGTCATAAATCCTAATCCCAGATAAATAAGAAACAGAAGGATAAAGAAAACCAGAAGTTTTAGGAAGAGAAGGAACAAACGTTGAAATGCAAGTAAAAGAAATCATTATGGTGACAATGTGAGGATTTTGCGGCCCTAAATGAAGCTGCAGCATTTCTCCATTTACTTTTTACACACTCACCATAAATTTTAAAAGCATAATAAGCTTTCAGATCCCTGGGAGCCATTTCACTTAGCACAGAAAACATGTCCAAGAAATCATCCAAGGTCATGTTGCCRTCGCCGCGCTCGGAGAACACCTCTGCAATCCGCTGGCGGAAGGGATTGTCCTGGGGAGCAGAGCACAGGAGGGAAGGTCATCCTTACCAACATTGATTTCAGGGCTGGTAAGGCAACTGGAGTGAGATTATTTTTGTTGAAACCCTTTTTTGGCAAATTTTCCCCTTTTTTGGCAAATTTTCCCCYTTTCTGTCTCTMAATTCTTACCGTGTCAGAGGCAGACACGACCCGTTGTGCGGTTTCAGGGGATTTTTGGGAAGCTTCCAGAAAGGCTTTTCAGCTTCCCATAGCCCAAATTGATTTCTGTGTCAGCCTGTCAGCAATTAGCCCTGGATGAATTATTAAGAGAGGGCAGTGGAAGTGGAACGTGTGGCCGGGTACCTTGAGCT